TGTGTCATCATCGCCACCCTCGTGTGCAGGTGAGGTTCTTGCCTCCTACTTGGGCAGGCATCTTGCCTCCTGCTCATGGTGCTGCATCCTGGGCTTGTGTTTTGTGCTTCATATGCTGTGTTTGTACCTAGTAAATCCCTTCTGACTGGATACATGTTTTAAATATTTGTGATGTATTTTCTTCCCTTCTGCAGCTTCCTGAACCACCAAGTGGTTTGAGCAGTATGAAAAGGAATAGTTGATGTCTTGGTCCTTGATACTTTGCAAGTGGTTAACCAAGGACTCTGAGTCTTCGGAGCTCATCTCTTAGCTAAGATGGATACAGTTCAAAAATTTAACGGGTCTAGATGAGATTGATTAGAATCTGGTGTCCAAAAGGAATTAGTATATGGATGAGTAAATTATAGAGGTACTTGTTAGTTTGTTTGGAAACTGTTCATATATGACTGAAGATGAACTTGTGGAGCTTGCAGTCAGTAAGACACATTTCATTATCTGTGCTAACGTGCTGTCCCCAAGGGTTGCTAGTAATGCTGCTGGCGTCAGCAACGTTTCATGTTATCACGGAACAACAGGAACTCGTGGAGGTGAGATGAAAAGTGCTGCTGAATAACACAAAAAGTTCAGTGATTATCAAAGAACATAGGCAGAAGAAGTTAAATGAAGAGATTTTAGGTTTTATGTTTGTGTTGCTCTGTTTCTCTTCGGTCAATGCAGAGAAGTATCACATGTCATAGAAAGGTAGCACTGGGACCAGCAAAAGAAGGAAAATGTTTGCAGACTTCTGAAAAGAGCCTTGGGCTTGGCTTGTTTTGATTTGGACAAAATTAGTGCTGTGAGATCCAGGGACTAATGAAAATTAAGATGTATGTCCTGAGCTGGAGCCTTGCCTTTCTTGGGTAAGGACCACTGATGCTTGGAATTGGCAACCTGGAGTCCTCTCTCCCGTGCCACAGCCTGGGGTGACCGGTCTCCTAGACAAGACACGTTGATTTTGACTGGAAATACACAGTTCTACAGCAAACGACTATCAACAAATATCACCTTTGTTTCTGCTTTGATAAAACTCTTTGAGGAGAGTTAAGATTAAGATAAAAGAAATTAAAAGAAAGAAAGTGTACTGTAAGCCAGGCTTAGTTGTTTAAGGATTAGATTGCACTGCTAATGCCCTCTTAAATTTGTTTTATTGAGTCACATGCTTAAAACAATAGAAAAACCCTGAGGTGCTGAAACCAACAGAGTGGAGCAGATATTACTCTGTTGTGAATTTAGGAAGCTGGGGAGGGCTTTGCCTGTAGAGGCAGGGCTTAGTGGTGAGGAGGAGGGCTTGTGCATAGGAAAAAGATCCCTCTTTGCAAGGAGCTCTTGGCCACAGGTAAGTGCCTGGAATGGAAAAGCAAAATAGAGAACAACTCAGAAGAAATCTCAGCTTTAGTTACCTTTCTTGTTAGTGATCTCAAGAGCTTCAACTACATCCATTCCTGTCCGCTGAAAGTGCTGTGGTCCTAACCCTTCCTTACAGAAGCTCTAACTGATGCTGTTTGTAGCTGTGCTGCTGCTACAGGCTCTTGGTAGCTATGGTTGTACTGGGGATGTGTCTAAAGCAGCTGCTGCAGCGTGCGGGTTTTGTGTGTGTGAAATTGCATGAAGGGTGAGAAGAAGGGGTCCCGCACGTCCCCCAAGCACGCAGGAGGCAACTGGAAGTTTGAAGGTCAGCATTTAGATCCTGGTAAAGTGGAAGCAACTTCTGGTCTTGTCCACAAGCTGGAAAACTGCTCTGACTCCTCAAAGTCTGAACCGTCTGTACCCTGCTTGTTTTTGCTGGTATGAAATGGAGAAGTATCCATAATTTTAAGATGCTACCTGAATCTGCTGGGATATTGCTTGAATATTTAAAACTCATGGCTGTTTTCTGCCTGTCCCACTGCAGCTTAACACAACAGGGCATTCGAAACAGTGCCCCTTGGTGCTGTCTGTTCAGTGTCTGGCTGCGGATGCAGATGTGACTGTCTATAAGCAAAGACTGTAACCTGCCCTAGCAGGAAGTCTCAGATACCAAAAGCTAAAATATTAGTTAACTAGCTCTATGCTGTCCTAGCTGCATTACACATAGCAGAGGGGCCAGAGTGGCAGATGCTGCTGTGTTTGGGAGTAACAGGGAATAAGGTTATTCTAAATGTCAGCCTGTAAGGGCAGGCTGACCTCCAAGCAACTTGCACTGCTGTGTGCAAGGCAGGGAAACAAGGTGGCTTGGATGCCCAAGTGATGACAGGTCTGAAAAAAACAGCTGGGATGTCCAGGTGTCGTAAGGTAGAAGTGGATGCCAACTACCATCTTCCTAGTTAACTCTGGTAAGTCCAGTCATGTTTAATGCATGCTTATCTAGGAAGTACTTAACCCCAGGTGACTGTTTGTCCTGTGGATCCTGCTGAGTCCTGGTTTTGTCACTGTGGATCACCATTTCCTAATAGCTCTACACTTTCTGATGAGCAAAAGGGAAAATATTGAGCAAGCAGGGAGACATAACCGGTTAACAGGCATTCTCTAACAAAACAGTATCTTTAATGAGTCTCCCCATCTCCTTAGCCCCAAAGCTGCAGGAATGACCTGTGTAGGTTACTTCTTGATTACCCAGTTGGTTTCTGGTCCTTCCAGTTTTGATCTGTGTCTCACAAGTAATTTCATTCTCAATTCTCTGTAGTTGCCACTAAAATCCCCAGAAAGCAGCTCAGCTGTGAAGGTGAAAAACAAGTTTCTTGGAGGGGATACCTGGAAAAAAAAAGGGTACAAATGGATGGTGAAAGCCTGCTTTCTCAAGTGCCAGTAATAGCACTTTCCCCTGGTGCTAAAGTGCAAGGTGGTAATTAGACAGACAAATTAACATTCCTCCCAGGAACACAAAGTCTAAAAAGGCCTCTCCTTATGAAGTTCCTGTAATTAAAGCTGACTTGGTGTAGTTAGATTATTCATTTCTAAGGATGTGATGTGAATGGGTAGTGTTCATCTTTTCAGTGTGGTGATTGGGTACCCACGGGGGTTTTCACTGTGTGTCTGTGGCACAGTGGAAGAACTCTGTCAGAAGGCACAAATATACTCTCTGGGTGGGATTAATGCCTCTGCTGTTGACGTATACCCCATGCAATCCAGAAAACAGTTTTCACAGATGGTATTGCAAGGTAATTTGGGATTAGCCTTGGTTTGCTTCATTTCTGGCTCTTCATCTTTGTCCTAAGCTGCATGACCCTTGCGTAAAAAGAATGTGAAAGCTGTGTGAAAATCCAGTGAAATCCAATGGTGAAATAGTGAAATCCAACTTTTCAAGAGAAGAGAGAGGGAAATTTGTGTTGAATCATGCTGAAAAATGGTAGTGGAGTGCACGTAGGCACCACGCAGTACTTGAAGTCGTACTGTTGTGTCGCTGTAGACATGCAGACCTTGTGCTGTGCTGCTGCTCCGTCTCATACAACGCACCTCTTTGAAGGGCTGGTGTCAGTTCACTGTCTCCCTGGTGTTTGTGACCCAGTAACCATAGTGTTTATGTCAGAAGTGCAGTGTTTCCTTGACTTTTCAGCTTTCCTTAAACTCACCAAAGTGACCAAGCAGCCAAGTTGCTTTTCAGTGTGGTAATGAGTCAATTGAGCAACAAGAATAACTCTTTAAACACGCCATACCAGCTGCACAGGTTGAATTATTATTATTATTATTATTATTTTAAAATCCCCACTTAAAATATTCACGAGGGAGAAGGCGGGGGAGCTGTGTGGTTAGCAGAAGGGACAGGAGACTGGCCAAAGTAGGTTGGGGAGGAAGAATTGTGGATAGGATGGTGCGCAGGAAGGAGGAGAGGTGCGTGTGGGCGTGAGGCAGGAACAAGAATAGCAGAAGTGCAGATGACTTTCCTGTGGAAATGCTGAAATTGTGTTAGAGCATCGTTCAGAGGGTGCTAAGGTGCAAAAAGCGGTTTTGTTTGGGAATGCTGCTCTAGTGTGCACAGGGTGTGATGGAAATGCAGGCTTCCCCACGTACGGTGATTTTTCTTTCCCCTCTTGATCAAGTGCTGGGAGATGGCTCTGTGCATCTTAGCCTATAGAGCCTTGCAGGGTTTGTGCAAGAAGCCATGTGGTTTGTCCTGACCTCAAGGACTTATACTGCGGGGTTAAGATGAGTTAATCTATTTTTAGCTTGAAAGAGCGAGTTTAAATAAAAAGAGCCCCCCTGTTTCCCTTTAATCAAATAAAAGGTAGTTAAAAACAAGTGCAAATCCTTAAATCTGCTTTAAACAATAGCAACTTATACCATCCTAGTGTGTGTAGGCAGGGATTTGAAACAACTGTTAGATTTAGGAGAAGCCAGATGCAAGCAGAGGCTAAAGAGCAAGTCCTCCCCCTCGCCCCCCAGCCCGCTCCCCATCGCCTGCCCTTGAGCTTCGTCCTGCATCGCAGCAGGGGACGGTTGGGGACAGTTCCCTTCCCAGCATGGTGGGAAGGAAGGCCCAGGAATCCATAGAACTGGCTCCCAGGAGAGTGAAGGGCTGTGCAAGTGGTTCCTATTGGCACAGGACACGCATGTGTGGAATTAAGTTCTGCTGGCCAGTAAGGGGAATAATTAACACTGTGTGCAATTCCTAGGAAACATGATACTGTGCCATGGCCCTGCCGTCCGGGAGGGAGAGGAGAATCCAGTCAGGTGCCCGCAGTTGGCAACACTTTGTAAATGGTCCCCTTTAGTAAACTGGGCTACGTATTTTGCTGCATCTCACTTCCAAGGACGAAATGACTGTTGCCACTTCACTCCGAGCATGGTTTGAGCCTTTTCCACCCTGCTGCTGCTGTGCTGGGAACACTGAGAGCCAACCAGCATATTCTGGGTGCTTGCCAAGCCTTTGCTGAAAGAATAGGGTTTTCTGTAGCTGTAAAAAGCTGAATAAAAATGAGCCTCAAAATGGAGGAATCAAATCCACATCTTCCATGTAAAGAATGTCCTGGAATTTATTATGGAAATGCTTTTCAGGAATGGTGTTCATGAAGAAAGACTGAATTCTTGCAACTCTTGCAACATTTATTACATATCTGCTGCTGCTTTCTGCCTGTGATGCAGGATAGCTGCTTTCCGTGGAAGACTCTTCAGGATAGGTTCTCATGGGTAACATGCTTTATAACTTAGGGACATTCGATTGTTGGCAAAAGCATGAGACTGTCACAGATTTTTGTCGCTGCTCTGCTTCCAGTGTGTGATTTTTTACTTCTACTTCTTGAACGTGTGAGGAGAAAGTAGAAACACAGCCAGGTTATCTGTGCTGTTCTGCTCAGTCTTGCTGAAGTGTTGGAGGAGACCAGGAGAAGGGGGGACTGGATCTGCAGCTGGAATAGTCATTTGGGCTCTATCCTGGTGTACTTGCAGAGCCTGGGAAGGACTGTTATCCAGGCAGAGCCCTGCCTGGCCTGTCTGCTCGGGGTCAAACTCGATTTGGGTGGGTAGAAGCTCAGTGTCCTTCAGTGACCCTTCTTTTAAGCAAAGGCTCTCCATGAACTGGCTCTGAAAGCTCTTGTTTAGCTCCTGACCTTCCTTTTATTGTACCTCTATAAGGGCAGTGCTATAACTCAGGCAGAAGCTTGTTGTGGAGAAACTAGAATAACTTTAGGTCTATACCAAAAAAAAAAGAAAAAAGAAAAAATGGCTTATCTAGAATAACTTTAGGTCTATACAAAAAAAATAAAAATGAAAAAACCTACAAACAACCCCTTTCTTTATGGCTGTCATGCACAAACGACCGTGGTGTCTGGAACCGTCCTAGAAAAAACTCCAGGTACTCTGTGGTCAAACATGAGATGTCTACGGGAAATTAGGATCTTGGTAATGTTTCTTAGCCCTGACTTTGGCTGTATGACCCCTTAACAAGTTCTTTTTCCTCTGTTATTAAGAAAAATGATCTTGAAAAGAGGATCCGTGCCTTCCTGTGGTGATGCCTTAATAGAAGAGGTGTTGCTGACTTGCATGAGATAATCTCCAGGTTATTACTCATTTACAGGATCTTCCTCTTTTAAGTGAGGCTTAAGCTAATATGGTTTGCTTCATAATTGGGACAGATTGATATGTGTGGACAGCTAGGGCAAATCAGCAGATAGGTGGTAATTTGCTAAGCAGCTGGAGTTGAATTGTGGCTCTGAGCTTGAAATTCACTTGCTTTAACAATAAATAAACCTTCTGCAAGAAGGCCCAGTAAATGTTTAAGCCTGGCTTACCAGTACTCTAAATTAGTGCAACACAAACTAATGGGAGGATAGATGATGTTCATGTGTGTTTGAGTGGAGGAAAGAGGACATGGAATGTGTGGTAGGTGTAGAAGAGCCACCACAGTGCACAAGTGCTTGACGTGAGCTCTTTGTGTCCTGCTTTTCAAAATGTAGTGAGTGAAACTAGTCCCTGTCCAGAGGAGGTGCGAGACCCCTGGCATAGCCGTGGTAGCTCTCCTTCCTCTTGAGAAGCATTTGGAGGACAATTTGGTGGCTGGATTTCCATTTGCCCCATGATTAGCTCTGAACTTTCTAAGTTCTCCAGCAGATTTTCATTCCTGGACTATGAATGAAACGCACTCATTAAGAAGAGGTGGTGTGTCTTGTCCATCATATGGATGCTATGCAGAGAATTGATGGCTACACAGGAAGCATGGGAGAACATTCACAGATTAGTTGACTTTACCCTTTCCTGCTTTTCTCTTTGCAGTGCTGGAATTGCCGTTGGCTTCTATGGAAATGGAGAGACCAGCGATGGTATCCACCGCCTGACGTACTCACTCCGCCACGCGAACCGCACCGTGGCGGGTGTCCAAGACCGGGTAAGCACGAGGGCAGGTGTGTCAGCAAATGGGGAGTGTGCAAATGAGCTGATTTAGCACCTTAGCGCCTCTCCCTGACTCAGGCTGTGCTTGTACTCTGCCCTTCTTTTGTTAGGCTCTGATCTCAGAGATGTGCTAAAATTTCCATTAGTGGAGTGTTGTTTTCTTCAGCTCTTCTAAAAATATCAAAGCAAACACAGCTTGTTAGATGAAGTCTTCTCTTTACAATTGTGCTTCGTTTAAAAAAAAAAAAAAAACAGATTAGCTCTTCTCCACATCCGGAAATGGAGGGAGGCCAAAGCAGAGAAGTCTCTTAGTAAAAAAAAAAAAAAAAAAAAAAAAAAAAAAAAAAAAACTTTAGCAAAATTGACTGTTGCTGCGATACCACATGGCATCGTTCAGCAACCCAGATAGCTCTAGCTACTAACCTTCTGGTACAGCATTGCCTTTAGTAAATGATCCTCCACAAGACTTAATTGTAGCCATTTTTATAATCTGTTTTAGGAATGCGGTGAATATATCTTGAGAGGGAGGGGAAAAAAAAATGTATTCCCAGCCCTAGTGGCTGTGTTCTAGGTCTATACTGTTCTGTTGGGTCACCTATCTTGATACAGAAGATGGGATTGAAACTAATTCAGTGAAGACAGAGGCAGAAGATTAAAAAGTGATAGTTACTGTCTGTGTAGCAATCTGAGATGTTTAAGACAGAGGAACAGTAATCTATAAACTGTTCATTGCTTACTAGAAAGGATCGGTCATCTTTTTCTTTCTTGACTTCCTTTTAGACCAACAAATATATGTATATATTTTTAACTACTGTTCTCTAGGTACTAGATACGGCATTGGCCCTGAACCAAACAGTGGAACCAAACTTGCAGGTCCTGGAGGAGATGTTCACCAAGCAGACAGACTACCTGCGTGTCATCCAGAAGCTGCAAGGTCTCTTGGATGATCTGGTCAGGCAAACAACTGAGATCCCTTTTTGGAAGAATGAAGAGCTGTCTCTGGAGGAGCTGGCAATTCAGATTGACCTGTATGACTGGTACAGGTATGTAGCATGTTATAGTGCAGAAGATCTATTATTTTGTTGTGGCCAGTGTTCTGCAGCAATGATGTGAGTGTTCTGGGTGGCTGAGCCAAAGGCTTCTTTAATTACTATGAATGCACTTGGCCCACCCATCTGATTCATTTTGTAGAGCAAAACTGCAGTGAGTTTAAATAAACATACGTAGCAACAACCTTTTTTTGTTGTTTTTTTTTTTTTGCTATGTTCATCACCAGCTGAAGGGAAACTCAGTCTTGGTGTAAAAAGACTATTGTCAGTGTTTTCTTACTTGGAGAAAAATCCCTATGGAGCCAGTGCTGCTACATGTTATATAGTGCATTGCAGTTTGTACAGCATGTTTGTTAACTAAATAGAGCAGGGCACTGAACAAGCTTCCTTGTGTTAACATTCTCCCTAGCATTCCTTTTTTATTAAACTTATTCAGTAGAAATTTGCAGAGAGTGTATTCCACCAATAAAAATGTTTCAGTTACTTTACATTTGTGTTTGGATGTTTTCTAACAAGTATCTAGGAAGTTCAAGAAGTCAAACTTTTTTCCCTGATGCTATCCAGCTTGCATATACCTTTATATAATAGGAGTGGGCTTCTAAGAAACAAGCTGAATTGAGGAAGCCAGCAAACATGGAAAGCTGTCAGTGGATTAGTCAATGGTGATTAGCTTTTACCTAAAGAAAGGCTGTTCTTCCAATGAGTTGTTTGTTTGTTTTTTATTTACTTTAGGTGGCTGGGATACCTGGGCCTGCTCCTGTTCCATGTTCTGATATGTTTGCTCGTGCTCTTTGGGCTTATAAGAAACTCCAGGGCCATTCTTATGGGGTAAGTCCTGCTGTAGGCATAGTGCACAAGAAAGGCCAGCAGAATGCAAATGGCTGTTTGTTCATGTGGTCAGATTGTGGTCAGATGATTTCATGCACTTCTGAGACTAAATAGCTTGAGCTTCTTAATTCAGAGAGACTTTTAGAGCATAGCTCTTTGGTAGGAGCAGAGCTGCATCTGCTGTGTGTTCATGGAAAGGTTCGTGAGCTGTAACACTCAATGGTACTGGTGTCCTTTGCTTTAGTATCAAAGAGAAGGAACTCACTTGGGCAGAGTCTGCCAGAGTAGCACTGGAAGCCTTAACCTGGCAGGCAGGTCAGGCCAGGGAAGCACTTGGGAGACAGTTACTGTGAATGTTTCCTTTAAATTAACAAGCTTTAAAAATCTCCCTTTAATTCTCTGCAGTTGTGAAGAGAGGGGTACTGGATGATAAGTACTACATGTGGTTACACAACCCGGTAGCGTGCATTTTCTGTCACGATCTGCTCTTGTTTACCTTTGGCTGTCACACCTGAGGAGATGATAAACTGAGAACAAGCAATGTTTTGTACAGTTATGAGGAGGCGTTTTGTTGCCGTGATACTGCAATATTAACTCACATCTATTTCTTAAAAGGTACTGCAAATGCTGCCATGCTCAGGCCCCATTACAAGAAAAATTATTCCTTTCCCTATTTTGTAGCTTGGTTTAGCTTGACATATTTGGCAAAGACCACTCGTATTATAAAAGCTTAACAGTTTGACAACTGACTTGGTCAAGAGTTTATCCTGCTATATGATCTTTATGGTCTTTATTTATATGCCATTAATAGCTGGAATGTATATTCAGACTTTTTATTTGCCAGATGACTTGATACCTGGCAGTATTTTTATAAAAACAAAAGTCTAAGTATATGCACAGATGGTTACCCCAGAGTTTAAATTAGCATCTCATTCTGTCCTAGTCAGAGGTTCAGATTGAGGTATTCCCCAAAGGAAGCACATGGAATAAAGAACCAACTGTATCACAGCCAAGCAGGATGGTCAAATGCCAGTTTTAGATCTTGTAGCCAAGCAGTTGGTTACTGACCCAGTCATCTTCATTTAAAGTTAAACAGCAACTGTGTCGTGTTGAGCTGATTACCTTGCTCAGCTGAAGGCACCAAGCCGTGATGACCTTATGTCACAAAACCACAGAACCTTGCTGGTCTATAACTGATAATTTTTGCATATGTTTTGGAAAAAGCTTAGTAAAATTTAAGCATCCTATTTCAGAGAACTACACAGTTTAGCTTGATGAACTTTCATGAATTCTGCAAGATCCATTCACAAAGTAGAGACTGCTCAAAGTTAAAATAGTTGATAAACTGAGAGGTAGATCTTTCTTTTTAATGTAAGGTCATAGATTTTATTCATTTCTTTATTTTTGTAAAGCACTAGTCTGCAGTAAGACATAAATGCAGCGCAAGATGTGTAGACCTGTCTCTTTCTTACTGAGATGCTTGCAGTAGATTTTTTTTTATCTCAGTTATAAATAGGTTCTTATTTTACCTCCCGGGGCGGGTTGGAAGGGGAAGAAATGTACTTAGGTTTCAAAGTGTGAAGTGAAAGGCATCTGTCACAGAGCAGCCCTCTACCCTGAAGGTAGGGATGCTTGCAGTGATACAGCTCATCAGTCTGTATTCCCGTACCTGGAGGGTTTTAGGAGCATTTCTACCTAAATATCTCTAGCACTCACGCTGATGCCAAAGGTGGAGAGCTAATGGGCTGGCTGGGGAAGTGCAAAGGCCTTTCCCACTGGTGCGTGCTGGCTGAATGTCACTGAGACCTCTGCTCTGTCATCTGTGCTTGTGTCACTGTCTTGACTTAATAGCAGACGTTTCCCACTCTTTCTGCCAGTAATGAGGTCCAGCTGTCGGAACGAAATTTTAAGTGTGTGCAGAGAAAAAAAAAAAAAAACTGCCTTTTAGAGATGCACTCACATGGCTGTAGTAGGTATTTAATCTGGTGTGCTGAACTGTTTGCTGACAGATGCGTGTGTTATGTGGGTTACTCTCCCTGGGTTATGTGGGGTGCTTAGGTGCTGTTCAGATACCTGCAGCTTGCAAATGAAGTCAGGTGTCCAGCGCTTACACCCTGATGACCTCGTTTATTCTAGAAACTTTAGGTATTTGCCCAGTTTTGGGTCTGTACGGCTCCAAAATATGAGATATTTTTCTTTGAATGACATTGGATCTAAAAGGCAAAGACCAGAGTAAGAATAGTGGACATGTAGCAAGCCCCTTGCCAGTCCACTTTCCTAGAGCCACCGGTGTCTTCACACCTTTGGTCTCTTTCTGGTGCTCTGCTAGGAGCAGACTGAAGACTTTCCTCTCACCCTCTTCTTCTTCCCACTACCATCGCAATGCCAGGTAACATGGGAACCAACAACTGGCCATAAGCTTTTCTAGTTGCTCTGTCCATGGCATATAAAGCGGGATAGCTTATCTGAATATACAATGGTTGATATTTTGTTGGTTTTGGTCATCACTTTGGACTTGAATAATAAATTTTTCCAAGTAACTGAATGCTGGAATTAAAGCCTCTACGTCTGCCCTCTGTCTGTTTTCTACAGGGTGTGCTTGCTTGGAGTGCTTGCCCTGATTATCAGCTGGGGATCCTTGGGTCTGGAGTTGGCTGTCGCTGTGGTAAGTAGCTCTGAGCCAAATCCAACTTGACCCTTGCTGTAAGTTTATCGGACCCAGAAATAAGTTGCTATTAGTGCATGTTACAATGTACCTGTTCTGTGGTATCCTGTTCTAAGTAGCTGTCTTGTTCAGCTGCTTGATTAAGAGCTCTTCCTCTGTATCAAGGAAATGTTCAGGGCTCTTCCTCTGTAGCATGCTTCACCAGTTGCTATTCCAGCACTGCTGTGGGTGAGTAAAGCAATGCCAGTGGGATGATGATGAGAGACTTTAGCCTCCAAAATGCCTCCTAAAGTAGAGTGTTCTCTGATGTTAACCTGGCTCAACTCCTCTTTGATAATGATGTTCTTTGATATTCCTTTTCCCTTTTGTCTCGCACCTACCTAGGGCTCCAGTGACTTCTGTATTAACCCTGATGCCTATGTCTCCAAAGTGGTTGAAGATAATGGAGTGCTTAGTACTGGTAAGTGCTACCTTGGGACTGGCTTACGCATGGAGTCCTGTGGCTCCATCCAGGACACTGGAGTGTGGCAGTGGCCAAGGGAATTCAAGGCTACATTTGGAACCCAGAAACTTGTGTACGCTGAGAAAAGCAGATGCTTGCGGAGGCCGCCTTCCCAAGGAAGTTCTTTCCAAAGAAGCATTTCCACTGCAGTCTGAAGTACAAACATGTATGTTTTGCCAAAGAGCTTTCTGAGTCTGTCTTCTGTCTTGCCCTCAGGTGGAAATAACTGAAAAGAAGGAACAACAGAAATCCCTGGATTATTTTTCTTTAAATATAGTGCCCTTGATCTTGTTACTGCTGTCTACGTGACAAAATTGTGACAATAGTGTGCAGGTTAAGTTGCCTTTTCAGAAACATTCTCTTGGGTTTATATTCCTTGGAATCTGGTATATTTATTCTTGCATCTGTTACCAAATATATATATAATTTCCTATAACGGCTATAAATAGGAGTATTTAAATACTTTAAAGGGTAAATGAACTGAAACAGGAATATAAATAAAGTAGAAAGGTATGGCTTTCCTTTTCTGTTATAAATGCAGTATTTTGGCTCCTTTGTTCACCCTTTTCCATTTAAAGCAATGTGCCTTCTTCACGATGGCAATCAACTGGAACAGTGGCTGATTTGGGATTTGTTACTCCTAATTTAGCCTGAAGTGGTTGGTGAGATGAGGGGTGCCTCCAGTTTGGTCCTTAGGGAGCAAAACAGGTATTCAGAACAGTCTCAGTAGTAAGATTTCACTAGGCTTTTGCCCACTAGTAGAAATAACTGTAAGTGCTAAAAAAGAAAGGTTTCTTTCCTTTCCTTTCCTTTTTCTTCTTGCTACGTAAATGTTTTTTACTTTTTTGTAAAAGTACTCTTTTTTGTACCCCTACTTTTGATATTCCCTTTCTAGTTCTGTATATGATAATCACAAATAAGCGATGGCAGTGATTTGTAGAAGTAGCTGTTTATGTTTCTCTGGTTCTTATTTGCTGCAATCTGAGAATCTTTGCCTTACATTCAGAAGATACAGTGCATTGCCTGCCCATAGCCAAATGCTGCCTCTTACTGTGTAATTGAAAAGGAATTAGGTATGTAGCTGTGGCTGATGGTGCAGGGATTGGAAGCAATAAGAAATGTTTATGTCTGGAGGCAGAATGTAGTATAACAGAGCGTGTACAGGTTGATATTACTACCCTACAGCTTATTCTTGGAATGCCTTATTTATTGATTTCTTGGGAAGGAGAGGGGAAAGCCGGACAGCTCAATACAGAGAAGTCTTTGTAACAAAGAAATGCAATAAGGAAAGAGTATTGGTATTTAACACTGCACCAGATAAGAATCTTCCCACCGTGAAGATGACTGAGATGTGGCTTCGGTTACCAGAAAGTCTCGTTGTTGTTGGAGGCTGCAAACAGGGAGACCAAGAGGAAATACCTGCTCGACGCTACGGCTGGCTGTGTGCTGTAATAACTTGATAGCCCCAGTCAGCTCTGGAGCGTGTTTGGTAACAAATAGGTTGACCTGGAGAAACTGAAAACCCCTGTCTCTTTATATAACTTCCCTGTTCTATCTGCCTTGCTTAGCTCCTGCGTTTTTATTCCCCACAATTAGTATTGTGAGCACCTTCCTGCTCACAGCAAATCAAACTATTTCCTGAGCTTCTCGTCATTCCAGGCAGCTGGTGGTCAAATGTTCTGTGTTCCCCTGTGGATTTTCACTACTGTGTCTTAGTTTACGGTCAGGAAACTAGGGAAATGGCTCCTGGTCCCCATTGCTGGAAGTGTTTGTGCACCTGAGCAGGAAGGAAAATCATGACGTGAGGGCTTCAGTGTGGAATTGTTCGAAGACACTTGAATCCCGATAATGGCTTTGTGAAAGCATCCTTGAAAGCCTGGAATAAGCACTGGTGTCCCTTAATAAGCTTGGCTATAAATTGCAGCAGCTGGTTTGTGATCAGCTGGGCCATCTATATGAGAAGAGCGACGGTCTGGTGAGAGGCCAGGCAGACAGCTGAGGGCAAGAGCCATTACTGTCCTCGCGAAGGAAGCCGTCCTCTTTCAAGGTCTCTGGTTCTGGTGCACGGGCTCTTGACATTTTGTTTTGCTGCCTCTGCTCTTCGGGTGTTGCCCTTGAACATAAGTGGCAGCGTAGATAAATTGAGACAAACACTTTAAAATTGCTCCGGCTAGTTTCACCAGAGTGTATCAGACCATGGACTTTCCATTTTGGGAAAGAGATGACTAAGAGAGGATTTCACCTATAAAATCATGAATGGCAAGGAGAAAGGTGGATAGGAATTGGTAGTTACTATTTTAGGAAACAAAAGCAAAAGAAGGGAGTATCAAATAAAGCTGGCTCAGCCAGAGGAGATGGTGCTCTTTCCAGCAGGCAGCTGCACTCTGAAACTCCTCGTCCAAGACTATGGTGGCTCTGAAAGTTTTCGTGGGGGCTGAAGGGGAGAATCAAAGTCAAAGGACCAAATTTGGAGGTTAGGTAGAGAAAGAGTAAATTTACCTTGGGAATCTCTTCAGCTGACAATATGGTGGGGAGAGCAGTGCTCTGGTTTTAGGCTTCCCTATGCTTCTGCTTTTGTGCTAGGGTACAGGACACAGGGTTAGATGCTGTCCTGTAATCTTACTTGTTGTAACAGCTTTTATGATCTTAGTTTTAAACATAAAGCAACCAGAGGCTTCAATGCTGGTTCAGCTTTTCCCATCAACTGATATTTTGTTATTGTTTTTAAATACATTATGTTATAATTTTCTCAGCCCTATGCTTTGGCGTTCAGAGTAGGAGTGAGTGATCTAGGTTTGCGTAACTACATTGTGATTTTTGCTTATTTTTTTCTTTGTTTTCCTTTCTGCAGTAGATTTCCCAGAAAAATAACAGCATATTTTTCTTGGATACTGGGCAACAAATATATTAATATTCCCTTTTTTTGTGTTTGTATTAATTGCTGCTTACAGATTGAAATAGAACTAATGGAGCTGAGAGTAATCCGATTAAGTGCATTATTGTTGTTGCCATGTTTTTAGCTGGAGAGATGTCCTTTTTTTTTTTTGTAGATAAAAATTTGCTGCATTAAAAAATGGGGTGGAGTGGGTAGGAGGAGGCAGAAAGCATTAATGCAGATTTCCTGGAGAAGGAATGACTTAAATCATTTTCCGGAAGAGGCTGATATATGTGTCTAACTCGCCCAGTATTCATTAATTGAGATAAAGTCAATGGAGCTGAACAGTGACTGTATAATCAGCTCCTGCTGCTAGTAAAAAGGCTTGGTGCAGCCAAGATGTTTATTTTCAAAGCAGGAGGCCATCTTCAAGTCTCATTCTTTTTTTCCCTGATATTGTGTGATTATAAATGACTTATTGAATAAAATTAAACAAAAAGGCCCAATCTGTCTAATCTTCAGGAAGAGCTTTCTCCCCGTTCTTGTACTGGAAGTCTGTGTAGTGAGCAGACCCAAGGGAGCCTCCAGGGCTGGTGCTCTTTGCAGTGTTACTACATGGGCCTGAGGAGCTTCAAAGGGACTGGAGCATCTATCCTATGAGGAAAGACTAAGTGAGCTGGACCTGTTCAGCCTGGAGAAGAGAAGATTGAGAGGAGGTCTGATCAACATGTACAAATACCTGAGGGGGAACGTAGGGAGGATGGGGCCAAACTCTTCCTGGTGGTGACCAGTGACAGAACAAGGGGCAATGGGTACAAGTTGAAACATAGGCAGTTGCATCTCCTTGTGAGGAAAAACTTCTTTCCTGTGAGGGTGACAGAGGGTGACAGAGCCCTGGCACGGGCTGCCCAGAGAGGCTGTGGAGGCTCCTTCTCTGGAGATCTTCCAAACCCGCCTGGATGCCACCCTGTGCCCCGTGCTCTGGGTGTCCCTGCTGGAGCAGGGGGTTGGACTGGATGATCTCTAGAGGTCCCTTCCAACCTCAGCCATTCCGTGATTCTCCAAAGCTGCGCTCGGAGCTGCTGAGCTGACGCTGGATTTCGGAGGCCGCGCTTCCCCGTGCGGTTTAGCTGAACTGCTGATTAGCAGGAAGCTTTGGCCGCACGGCACTCACACTGGCTAGAAGCTCAGTGCCAAAACCTCGTGGTGACTGGCCTGATTTCACCAGTGCAAGACTGACGTATGTGTGAGGAATACAGAGGGCATACAGATCCTGCCCTCGGACTGTTGCTTTAGGGAAACGTGACGTATGTGTGAGGAATACAAAGGGTGTACAGATGCCCTCGGACTGTTGCTTTAGGGAAACAAGATTCCTGTGGGAGGATATGTCAGTGTTACCTGGGCAAGAAAAAAGAGCTGACTCAGTCTCCCTCCTTGGGCACCCAACGTGATGTTCTTCCCTGGCAGGTGGTCTCCTCTGGGTGTAAAATGTGAAGTGGAAGCTGCTTAGTGCTCAGGCAGAGGTGAAGAACGGCTGGGAAAAGCCGGTGTGGGGAACTTTTTTTTTAAAACTAGGATCTTTTTTGTATAGCATTTTGTGCTTGCTCTTTACCCTACAGCCCTCCTTGCTGCCTCTTGGCACGTGTAATGCCATTTTTGCATTCTGCAGAGCTTTTTTAGAAACGAATAGTAAGTCTCCCTGGCTGCAGAAGCAGTAAGTGGATTCCAGCAGCTGAAGCTGACTCGGGTAAGCTGTTCCACTTTTCTTTCTAGGAAAAACAGGACTTTGCAAAAACGAAGCAGTTGGGGTGGTTCCCCTCCTAGCCTTCTGCTCGCCCGCGTGGGGACGGTGGGTCGGGACCGCTGTGAGCACCAGCAGGCACAGGCAGCTGCTGCTGTGACCCTGCCCAACCCTCTCCTGCAGGCTGCAGCTCTGAGGCCAGTTTTGGAAACTAGATCCAGCCTTCAGGAATGTTCCTTAAGAGGAAAATGCATTAGAAGAGTAATTCTAGCAAGCAGCTAGAGCTGTTAGTGTGCAAATGAGCATTAGTACAGCTGTTTTCTGCACTGAAATGTGAGATTTTTCTCTTGTAGAGGACAGTCATTTGCCAGTTTAAATCCCCCAAAGGTGGCACTGCCTGCTGCTCTGCTCCCTTTCCCTGCCTGCTGGTTTGGAGGCTGGGCTCATGCTTCACTCGCTTAGAGGCTTTGTGGCACAGATTCACTTTAAGACAGCTTCACTGCCTATTGCAGCATTGGTTTTAAACCACCACAGCATGCTGTGCCGTACAGGGTAAGGCTAAACTTACTCTCTTTTGCGATTTTATAAAGCATGTGCTAGGTATGGAGTGTGTCACTTGTCAGCTGTAATGTCATTGCTCGCAGTGCCCAGCTGTGCTGAGGTTGCCTTCCCAGGGAGCGGAGCAAGGGAAGCTCTTACTTCCCTCTACCCCTTTTTGCTTCGCTTGTAACCAGGCTGTCTTTGACACTAGGCCCACGGATTGCAAAGTGTGATGATATTGGGAAGTCTCATCTATAGCCTTCACACCAGGAATGACCCAGAAGGCCTGAAAAGAAGTTTCTGCAGCCCTGTATTAGCAGTTTATTATGGAACTTAATGCACTATAAAGGTGATGTAAATGTAATGCTGCTGAGGGGGAGCCTATGAGAAAATGTTAGTGGCCCATTGGTTTAAAATAATAAATGACTACACCCGAGCCCCTTAGGTCAGCCTGTGATGCTGGGGAGTGCTGTTACTGTGCTGCTCTTTCAGTGCAGGGGCTCTTTAACCCATTTTTCCATAGCCGTTTTACATGATTTATGGGCCTGGGAGGAGCAATCCTTTCCTTGGCTCAGTAACTGTGCACAGTAGTTTGTGTGGTCTGCTCAAAGTGAGGCCTATAAAGCAGTTCTTGCTGCTCTCCTATCTGCCCACATTTTGCTAATTGCTGTTTAGAGGCTTGGCTGAGGGGGAGACATAAGTCATCCTGGAGAAGGATTTGGTGGGGGGAGATGAGCAGCTGGCAGAAGCTGCCCCAAAGTAGGCTAATGAATTATAAATAACAGCTGTCGGGTTGCACTGGCAGCGTGCAGGAGCTGGCAGTCTCCGTGGTAGCACTTGGGCTGCAGCGCGTAGGCTTGCCGAGAGGGCCATGCAATATTTATGGAAGTGCGGCAGAATGGGAATGCAGTCAGCTCTGCCTTCTTAGCAATCCTGCTTGCTCGTGGTCATGCGTTTTCCTGGTTTCTGAGTTGGGGCTGTTTAAAATACCTTTGTGACCTGGACTGTGCCATCCTGAAAGTCCCAGGGAGAAGATTAAGAAGAATGGAAGAAGATGTTAATGATGGTAGGGGAAGGCAAAGCATATGTATGGCTTGTCTCAAGTGAGCAAAGTTCAGCATGCATAGAAGTGTGACAGCTCAGCAAAATTAATATGGAAAGGACCTGTAAAATGTTTGAGAATTAATCTGGAGGTATTGAGACGACTAAGCCTTTCACAGAACTCTCTCCCTCTACAGCCTCATTGAGAAGCACAGAAGAGAGTCTGGATATTTTGAATTTGTGTGTATTGACATCCTACACGTAGCAGGCACAGGAGGGCCAGGGCTCATGAGAACATCAGGCTGATTTTATGCCCCTTGAATGCAAAGAAGCAGAGCTGTGTGTTCAAGCCTGGGACAGGCTGCAATTTCATTGACTTGCTTATCTGGAAGCAGCTGGAGTTGCAGCTTTTACAACCAAGTCTTCAGTGTTCTGTAATCGCTGATAGGACTGCTAAGCATTAAGGCTCTTGGGATAATACAAGCAAATGATCTGAGGTCCCTTGAACAGGGTAATGCATTGCTAGTATCCTAATATCCACTAAGAGCTTTCACCTCTGACCAATGCAGAAAATAACCTTTTGTTTCTTTTGCCCGAGTCAAATGAAAGATCCAAAATAAACTGCACACACTCTTATAATTAGTCTAATTCAGACCTTCCAGTTAAAGTCTAATTACATGCAAGCGATGTCAGAAAAAAATCAAGACTTACTCATTCATCCCTGATCTTCTTCAGAAGATCAAGAACCTGTTCTACTTTTCATTTCTTTCCCCCAGCAGATTCTGTGTTGTTGTTCACTTTCAAAGTGATACCATTTTTAGGAAATGACCTCGCTGAAATAAGGAGCCATTCCTTACGTTCTTCTACAGACCACTGCCCCAAAACAGTCTGTCTTTTGACAATAGCAGAGGAACTGAACTGGCTCCAAGTTATGTCTCTTTGGGTACCCCAGGCACAAGGCAATGGGTAGCTCTGGTTGCTTACAGAGACCATCATATGGTCTCTGAGTACATCCTAACACTCAGACTTTGCAGAGATTAAATCTCCAGTTGAACTTCTACCAGTGTAAAATCTTGTCTCATTGTGAATAGTGTTGGCTTCTAAAGATGTTTTTTTTTTTGGTTGATGATGATTTGCCTAACTGTACCATTTGTTTCACTATTTAAAAAAAAATTTATCCCACAAAGGCAGCTTATATCCTTTTTTTTTTTTTTCTTCTAAAGTGAACCATGCTCTTTAATCCTACATGAAGAGAGGGAAATGATTCCATGTATATTGCATACTCATTTTGTCCTTTCAGAAGTTTACACCTCCCTTGTGGCAACCCTTAAGAAGGTGCAAAGCTGAACAACGTACCTGGCGTGACTTCCTTTTCTTTCATTTTTTTTCTAGATATTCTCCGTTATTACATCACCTGCAGTGCTGGATACCCGAACCCGTTCCAGCAGGTGAGTGTAAGCATCCTAGCTCCCCTCACCCTCTTGTGCACCCAGCTTCTCAAAGGGAATAGGTTAAACCACTAATGCCATCAATGGTACAGTGAGCAACACAGGAGTAACTTCAGAGTACTGCATGTGTTGGTAAAGGTTTGGTAGCTACTTTTGAGCTGTGCAAAAGGTGGCACTGTGATGCAGTGAACAGGGTTTTTTTCCAGCTTGGACTGCTCCAAGAGGGGCTGTGTGTGATGTGGTGAGGATGATGCTTCTTCTCATGGTATCTCCTGTTTGCATGGTGCTCTTCTGAGAGCAGAGACATGGAGCCAGCACACCCACAATTAAAGCAAGGGTGGGAAACTCCGTCCTGCCTGCTTTGAATCTCTTGCAGGTTCTTTTGGGTTAAACAGTGGCAACATTCCACTCCCCAAATACAGACATCTCTGTGGGGGAGGGAATAATTCTCACATATGCCTCTTAAATCCATTGGATGTTTAAAGTTTTGAAGTATGAATGTGAGTCATATTATTCTTCTGTGTGGGAGCTGGGGAACAGCACCTGGGCCCATCCCAAACCTTTTGCCATGTGTATCAAAGGCCAGAATGAACCCACACCACCCACCAGTCGGTAGGCACCAGCTGCTCCACAATTTTTATTTAGGATTTTTTTTGAATCATGTTGCCTTCTCTTTTGAAGGGTGGGGGAAAAATACTGCAGTTTGTGGTAGATGCGCCATTGTCATCAGCTGAATTTCGGGTTGTTCAGTATGCAGGGCATGCAATTGCATATGAAGTTCCCATGGATGCTTTAGTGAGATGTGATGATTGCACCCTCATATCAACAACTTTAACTCCTCCTTATATGGTTGGTTTGGTAGAAAAATCCAACTGTGGTGTGTAGCGGAGATATGAATACTTTGCAACTCTTCTTTCTGCTCCCGCTGTATCCTGGAACCACTGAACTGGTCCCAGCTCTTTTTTGCCTCTTTTTTTTTTCTCTCTTTTTTTTCCATTTCTACTTTTCCATCTAGTTAAAGTCAAACTTAACTGTATTGGAACTGAATATGTCTCACGTATTCATGGCTCATGTCAGTTTGTCTCCAGACTTGAGACATCCATTCATACAGATGATGCTTCAGTGTTTGCGAGCGATTCGTTTCTCAGGAATCCTGTTGGTGCGTGTGGCCTGCATTGATGTTCAAGACTGAAACATTGTGTTTTGTATTGAGTAGAAGCTGTCGGGAAGTCACAAGGCCCTGGTGGAAATGCAAGATGATGTTATGGAACTCATGCGGTCAGCGAGCAAAGAGCACCCCACCTCCAAGGTAACTCACCTCAGTCTTGCTCTCCCTGTGCTTTCTGGCTTGACTTATCCTTGCACAAAACCCCAAACTAATTCTGCAAAGCCCTTTCTTCGTAATCATCTCTGGTTTGTTGCTTACAGGAGTATCTCATTCGGATCCAGGAGGTTTTAAATTCAACAGAGATCAACTTGCAGCAACTGACAGCTCTAGTAGACTGTCGGAGTCTGCATTTGGTGAGTACTTGGTAACTGGGCTCAAGCTCAGAAAGAACAAAGGGGATGTAGAGCCCCTAGCACATAGATTATTTTGCAGATTCAAATCTCTGGTGTTCCAAAGCAGTTTACAACAGCTTTACTGATTTTATGCATCAGAAGGGACAATGGGAATTTGGATCAGGTTGGGTTTGTGGTTTAATGTTAGAAGATCAGTGCAGGAAACTGGATAGCATGCCTTTATACATCTAGAAGCTGCAGCATTAAAGTTTCAGGGAGTTTTAATTTGTTTCCATAGTCCTGAGTTTGCTGGCTTTCCCAGGTAAAGCTGCATTATAGCATGGCCTATCTGTTGTCCTAGTTATATCTTTGGAGATAGTGATATGAATAGCCTATGCTTGTGTTCTTGGCCAATGAAACACAGTGAAGGAGCTGAGCAGCTTAATGAAAAATGTTATACTTGGGTGGATAGATAGGCTTATCTTGGCTTTCCTCCTCTCCCTTCTTATTGTGTGAGGTGGGAGGTATTTTCATCTCTTTATCTGAGCAGGGCTTTGTGAGGGGAAATAAGGGTTGGGTTGACTTATGAAGAAACTATTGAGGTCCTTAACATAAAATAGGAACATATGCTGAGAAAAGGACTATGAAGTCTTAAGTTCCTTCAGAGCTAGTCCAGAGGGAAGGACACTTGAATTAGAGATCAATGTTAACTGTCCAGTGATCAGAAACCTCTGGTTATTTTCTCTTTCCAGGATTATGTCCAGGCATTGACAGGCTTTTGCTACGATGGAGTGGAAGGCCTCATCTACCTGGTTCTCTTCTCCTTTGTCACAGCCCTCATGTTCAGTTCCATTGTGTGCAGCGTCCCACACACTTGGCAGCAAAAGAGGTATAGAGGGGGGTTAGATCCTGTTGTATTATAGAGCTCTTCCCTAATGAAGACTGGCTATTGGATTTGTGCCTATGAGCATCTGGAGCTCTTTTCCCATATGCTCGCAGGAGTATGAGGGATCGAGGCCTTTAAGCACAGATCCAACAGAAAAAAAAAAAAAAAGCCTTTTACTCTGGCTGTGATTGATTTTTACATCTGAATTTTATTGTGCTGGAATTGTGTGCAGAGTACTCAGTACCTGTAGGACAACGGGTCAAGTTAGAGATGAATAATTGTAGCTGTAGGGAAAGGTAATCATTGCACTATGTGCTATCTCTGTAAAATACCTATTCTTTGTATCATTTATGAGGTATTTGCATAATGTATATATGATTTTATATCGCTTATGAGATTTAAGTGAGGGTAAGAGGTTTGAAATGACCAGTAGTTCAGTCTTGCCATTCTTGGCTTTGCTCGCACCAGGGCAACTGGCTTGCATAGCTAATATGAACTGGGAATGGTCTAGTTTGCAAAAGCTAATTTATGGTGATCACATAACTACAGAGTTATTAGGAACTAGTATTAGTGGTGACAACCAGGGTGAGCAGTAAGCCTTGATCTGACCTTCCCAGGGCATCGCTGACAGGCTGCTGCACCACGTGCTGCTGCCACGTAGCCTCATTGAGCTCTCAGCTCCTGTAGAGCAACGATAGACTTTGTAGCAAATGCTCTTCTGTGATCCTCAATGTGATTTTTATGATCTAAGCTCAGGTTCCAGGTGGAAAGTAAAACGGAACATCCTGAACAATAGGAGGAAGCCTGGGCACTAGGTCTGCTTTGCCCACAGAGAAGCCTTCGGAAATGCGTCCGAATAGCACTTGAGAAAATGGCTGCTTTCCTTAGCTCTTCCCCAGGCAGAGGCATTATCGAGAAGGGTATGGTAGTCTCCCTTTTTGAAGAGGGAAGGTTTATACAGTGCCTTTTCTCTTGTGCTCCCATCCACGTGGATTCCTGCTTTCCCTGCCAACCCCAGCAGGCTCAGGCTGCTGCTGTAAATTGAGGAATTCCCTCCTGCATTCTCAGGAGCACCATTTCTTCCTTTGCCTCCCTCAGGGAGCTGGAGGATATAGTACTTTATTGCCTGCAAGAGACTGCCAGCTGTAATTCCCTGAATAAATCTTCAGTGCCACCTTGTGGTACAGAAACTGCAAGTGGTGGTTGAGATGTTGCAGCTGTGTCCCTGCTGTCTCTGAATTCTCCCTGCCGTCACAAGCCAGAAATGTTTCCTATAAAGCATTTTACTAACTTTGTCCATCATCACTAATATATGTTTCAAATATTGGTGCTGCATAATTAGGGAGCTAAAATAATAGTGTACGTTACCTAGTAGGGGCAAGAAAATACTACGGGTAGAGTGAAAGGAACCAACAGGCAAATAGCCCTGCTCTGCATTAGAACTGATTGAAAGAGAGAAGAAAGCCTCTAGATACAAATGCAGATATTTAGACAATGCACTGAGTTCAGTAATTCTCTTACAAGCTGAAGTAGGCCCTGTGTAACAATCATGGGAGTTTGGAGGGGTCTGCAGTGGTGGAAAGACTGTGGTGTTAAAAGCCTTTTGGACATTGCTGCAAGAAATGGGGAAGGGCACAGGCTGCAGCTTTGAGGGATGCTTTCTGTAGGATGAGTGGCACTGTCTCCCCCTGCCTCCCTTAGATAAGAAAAAAAAAATGTTTATTTTAGGGCATGTCCCCATCCTTTGGTTATGTGACTAGGCAGTTGCAGAGCTGTGCTGTCTGCCAAGCCCTGAGAAGAGCGTAGGGGGGACTGTAGGGGATCTTGCAGTCTAAAAATCCAGATGGTGCCTGTGGGAGGTCTGAGTCACTGTGCTGTAGGCTGTGTTTGACACTGCCATGCTGAGGCATCCCGAATGGGTATAAATGTGGAGGTGTGGAAGATGATTGGGAGGTTCCTAGGATTACCATGGTTTCCTGTAAACCTCATTCGTGTGGTAATTGTAGGGTTCTAGGAGGAACTTTTTTTCCTTCTTGCAGAAGCTCGGATGATGATGGGGAAGAAGAATCAGCTGCTCAAGGGAATAGACAAACACATGATAATCTTTACAGAGTGCACATGCCCAGCCTCTATAGCTGTGGGAGTAGTTATGGCAGTGAGACCAGCATTCCAGCAGCAGCACACACAGTCAGCAATGCTCCCGTCACAGAGTACATGTGAGTATCCCAAGAAGAGGGCCGTATTGCAGCTTGTCTGATTTTATTGCAGCTCAGAAAACTTGCTGCAAGGGTGGCACTTGTGACCAAGCAGCGGAAATGATAAAGGATGCTGTTTCAAGTCTCAGAAAGCATATTTTCCTATTGCCATCTCCTGGGAGAGCGGAATTGCTTCAAAGTGCTGCAGTAGGAAGGGTTGTATTAGGCATCTTACTCAAAAACGTGAACCACTTTGCAAGCCGCTTTGCACTGCAGGATTTAGAAATCTGTCTACAAAGAAGAAGTAAACTGTTGCCCAGGCTGCTAATTACACAATGGTTCTGACTCCCAGAAGACTTGATTCTTCGGATAGAGCAGGTTTGACAGAGGATATTAAGGCTCCTGAGAGACTGAGAGCTGTGACAAAACCTCCAGGCTGTGTCTTTTCATAGTCTTTGGGGTCAGCTCTGATGTTTGTTGGAACATGGAGCTACATAATTCAGCTGGGATCTTCAGAGCTTTCTCGAGATACTTCACCCTGATCACACTTTGACTACATTCAAGGCTCATCTCTTTTGGGCTGGCATGTCGTGTGGTTGTTTTTTTTTTTTTTTTTCTCTTCCTCTTAGATTTTGTCCTTATTTTATCTCCTTTCTGCAGCTTAGCAGTCCTGCTTCTGCAAGGAGTCAAACTTCACACAAACCTTTTATTTATTTATTTTTTAAATCAAATCATGCGATGTGATTCAACATGGGCCCTTCAGAGTGAGAGTATAACGACAGCGCTTTATCTGATGGGGAAAAAACAATGATAGCTTTGTGCCCTTACCTGAGAAAGGGAACCCACCTGGCCTGGAGGGAGACCGAACCGAGATAACAGATCCGAGGGTGCATGTGCTGTGTCCTGTGTCACTGTCAGAGACCTTCCCCAGAGAAGTGTGGCACATACCCCCGTTACCATGTGTGTCTTCCTTTCCTAGGAGCCAGAATGCAAATTTCCAGAACCCCCGCTGCGAGAATACCCCGCTCATTGGCCGTGAGTCCCCACCTCCCTCAGTAAGTCTCTCTTCACTGCTCCTCTCTGCTTCAGCAACTTTGGGGGAATACACGTTTACCACTCCGGTGTACTTCGAAGGGAGCTGACTGTGCAGCCAAACAGGATCTGGCCCATAAATGGCAGCAATTTTAATAGACAAACCATGTCTCACCTGCCGTGCAGAATAAAACCCCACTATGCCACTTTTGGGCATTGTTATAAAAATGATGGCACTAAATTTATTGACGTTGATAATCCTATGGGCCCAGTCCTGCCACCACTGAATTGCATGAGTATCTTGGTGGGTGACTTCAGCAAGATGATTCACTTGCATGCAGTATCGTGCTCTCTGTGACACTGATTCCTCAAGCTTAAAAAGAAACTTCTTAAAACAGTAAATTCAGAGTTATTGCTGAACCTCTCTCCTTAATCTGCCCTGCAGAGATAATAAGATGAAAACTGTATTATTTTTTTTTGAGATTTATTTTTTAATCTTTTTTTTTTCACAGCTCTTTTACTTTCTTTAGAATCTATTTTTGTATTTAATTTCCTCCGGAGGAAAAAAAAAAAAGAAAGAAAGAAAGAAATCTTTCATGGAAGGTTTTGGTATTTGGAATGGCCTGGTAGCCTTTTCTATACGCTGGATAAAATACAGGCTTGTTTTCATGTATGTAAGGCCTAGATGAGTTTTGCCCTCCTTCACTGGATCCTGTAAACCTTACTTATATCTTGGACCTTGGAGAACATACCATCACAGTGCTGCCTGACTTGGTAGTGTGATTACAGGCAATGAGTAGTAGCATGTTTAATAAGTGGCTAGTCTTTGGGTATAGGCAGAGAAAATATACTCTGTGGTGTTCTGTTCTAGTTCATTATAAGGAGAGGAAGAAGAGAGTGGAGGAGGAAGGAACAGGAACTGTGGTGGACAGGGGGGAACATCACATTCATTTTTTCACTTCAGAATGATCGATTCATCTCACCTTAGAGCAAAGTGATGGACCAGAAAGTTGATCCTTGTCTTTGTGTTTGGCCAACCTCTTACAACCTTCTTAGAAATAGAGAGTTTCTCCCAATCCCTGTGTTCTCAACGCAAGCTCTGGTGGCATTATCTGCTCTCAGCAGTGACAGGCATCAGGAGAAGGGCTGCCATGCTGCATGCAGCACAGTGTGACAAATGCTTGCTTTACTGCTGGCGTTTCCTCTTTTAGGAAGGCCGCTGTCCTTCTGGCAATGCTGAGGCATACACTGAGTTCAGAGACTAGGTCAAGGTCCTGCCTCCCCTTTCCCTGTAGTTCTTCTGCTTCAGAAAAAGGCACAGCCCTTTCTGCAGGGCTTTTCTTTACCAAGAGTTTCCCTGCTCTTTTGGTAACTGTCAGCTTAAATGACCCTGAGGATCAGAGTCCTGGTCCCTTCCTGGAATATGGAATATGAGAGGAAAATCATAAAGGTGAGAGTTTTTTCAGAGGAACTTGACTTGACAGCTGTCATAATGGGCTGTGAGGTAGCCTAGGAGCTGGGGAGGAGATTACATTGCTGCTCTCACGTAGACAACAGAATCTTCTCCCTAGACAAGGTAAGGATTAGGCTATAGGGTAAGTGAGTTTTCTAGAGACAAATACTGGTCATAGGTGAGCAGCTGAGAGAAGGAAAATGTCTATGTCCTGCCACATCGGCAGGGAGAGGGACGTTTCTGGGATTTTTGTACCCAGCTTTCCACAGTAGATAGTTGAGACCATTATGAGGTGGAGGAGCTTGCAAGACCTGATCTTGGCAAATTATCAGCGGAAAGGGAGAGAGATGAAAAAAGAATATGGATGCTCATGTGCATGTTCCTCTTGGGGAGGGGGAGATGGGGTAACCATCCAAATAGAGTAAAGACAGAGCTGATCTCTTCCATACAGCTTCATTTCTGAGAACAGATGGTGAAAACTAAGATGTGATGATCCTGCTGCATTGTATGTCTGTTACTTTTCCTGGCTTTTTGTTTGTTGGTTTGTTTGTTTTTATTTCCTTCTCTCATTCCTTCTGTTTTCTCCTTCTTGCCTCAGGGCTCTTCCCTTAGGGTTGTAGAGTCCACCTGGTCACCGACACACACCACAGCGTTTCACTTGCTTGCACTGTGTTTTTCATGCACGTTGAGGCTGCACTCTCTTTTTCTCTCTCTTTCTTGCGTCATCACAGTTGTATTTGGCTGCCATGGACAGTAGCAGCCATATGAGCTGGCAGCTTAAGCCCTCGGACAGTGCACGGACATACTGGTAACAGCGCCCGCAAATGGAACAGGTACAGAAAAAAGGTCCTTCTTGCTCAACCCTTTCTCCACTCCAGACCACCCCCTTCATACCTGCACTGTTTATCCCAGGCCAGTGCCTTTTATTTCTTCACATTCCCTCCCTCTGCACCCCCCACCCCATTCCCTCCTGCCAGGGATTAAAACTAATCAGTTTTGCTCTGCTGCAGACTCAAGGAGTACTATCAACCTTGGAAAGGCTTCTGGTGCACGCTGTGATGGCTAGAGGCCCATGCCAAACTCAGGGCTGCTCTAACTTGGAGTCCACACTTGAGAGTAGCTCAAATGCTAAGCGCTAACGCTCAAATGTAGAACTTGCCTTGCATTTCAAATGCAGAGTGGAATTTCTCCCATCACAAGGAGCCATTTTCTAGAAGTAATGAGAACCAATCTAGCAGCTTTTCAGTCAGGACTGGTTGTCTTGTTCCAACCTTTTGGCTTCCCTTGAGCCCTGCTGCTCTTCTATTTGCCTTGATTGGTCATAACAGCGTGTGCCCAAAACCACAGATGCTTATCTGCCATATGTTTTAAGTTCCTTAGGATTTTTAATTTGTTGAAAGATCCTGGCTGGTGATGGTGGCCTGTCCTAAAGAGTGGTTTCACTGCCTGTTAGATCTATGTGCAGCTTCTCCTTTTATCTTTGCATTAAAGTCAGAAAGGAGTAAGTTTTAAAACAGCTTCCCTAAGGGAAACACAAACACAAGCACTAAGATCTGTTTCATTCTGTTTCAAAACCTTTTTCTGTTTTGTTTGTTTTGTGTGTGTCAAATCATTCCTTCCATTTCCCCAGGCTCTGAACAGAGCCCTCCTAGTATCACTGCACTGTCTGAATCCTTAATGTGCTGTTGTTGCTCCTGTTCTCCAAGAGAGCCAGTATTTCTTCCCTCACAGTGGTCCATGACAAAGCCACATGCATAACGAAAGCGTAGGTGGTCTGCATTAGGCCTTGTTAGTTTTAGCTTGGTTGAATGTAGGATCTAATTAAATGAGTTCCCAGGCAACTCATTATCTGGTATTGAGGACAGTGTGCTCATTCAGAGGGAACTACAGCTGCAGAGGAACTGGAATATGTTGGTTCCAGTTGGAATAGAGGGCCCTTCGCAGTTGGCTCATGCAGTCAGTGACCCCTATCTTGTGCTTTGTTCCCAGAAATACATGTCCATAAAGCTGCCGTTCCTCCACTTCTGCAATTCCTGTTGGGACTTTTGTTAGCCTTGCACCGGATTCCTTTCTGTCATGTTGCTGCTTGGTCTGCTTTCTTGCTGCCTCTTGCCATTTGTCTGCCTGCCTTGTGATGTGCTGGGAAAGACACTGTTCCAATCGGTGTCTTGATGTCCCTGCCATGGTGCATGAACACAAACTCGTGTGTGCTCTTAAAGCATGGTGTAGCCGGGGCCTCAGGAAGGGGCACAAAGTTCTTGGGTCTCCAGTCTTGCAAGGCCTGTTCTTGGGCATGAGCTCTTGGTGGGTTTTCCGCTTGCTTTTTCCTGCAGATGGTATTGTAGTGATGGTAGAACACTGCCTATAGGTCTATCCTGTGAAATAAAATACTGTTTGAGGCGGGGGGAAAATTCTAGAAGCTTCATTCTGGATTTGAAATATTCCCTGGGTTGAAACCTGACCTCATCACAGTCTGTGCTGCCTTTTGTTTATCTAAGGTCGCACCCGGAGTTTAATGTGGTTGCATGGCTAAGTAAAAGGCATTGCATTCTTTCCAAGACTTTAAAAACAAACAAAACAAACAGAAAGTCTGTTCTTCTGGCTTGGAAAACTCAGAGTCCTCTTTGAATTCAGAGCCTATTGGCTGGAATAGGCTGTTTGCCTCCATCTTGTACCTCCCATGCAAAATGTTACCAAGCCTTGTGTTTCTACTGTGCTCTAGTTATTTGAGATGTGGATCAGCCTTAAGAACTTGAATCCAGCAGCTTTGATCTTTATTGGAGAGAGGGTTTTTTTGTTTGTTTGTTTTGATTTGTTTTCTACCACAAATAGCTAAAGTTTGTACCTGGAGTCATGGTTTCACATGGTAAGTGGTCTTCCAGCGTAGCTCACTTAGCTGTGAACATAGCTCAGTTAGCAGTGATACCAGTGATCTGCAGAATACACAGGACTTTATGGTAAAATTTGTGGTCTTTAAAATGGCCCAGTTTTCTCATTAATATTTTTGCAACAGGGATTCCTTTGCATGCAGACTAAATGTGTTAAGCACTTTCTCCTTCAGAAGGAGTTATCTTTTTCCTTCTAATTTAAGAAGAACCAAATAAACTTGTAAGCAACCTTCTGTTCTAGCTGACCGGTAAGTGACTCAGAGGTGTGTTGTTTTGGATAGCACAAGACACCCGAAGAAGCGGTAACTTTGGGTTGAAACTTGTCCTTTGTGCTGTTCTTTAAAGGGCAAATGAGGATGTACAGAACCCAGGTAGTGCAGGCCAGAATCCTGGAAGAATCCACTGTGCGTGTTCTTTAACCTTCTATGAAAGTTCCCCTTAAAAGGAAATTAAATACAAGCCTATGGCTGTGTGAGGCTGTGTATCCAGATTACCCCAAAGTAAACTCTAACACAACTTTAGCTCCAAATTGTTTTGCTTATGCTCAAAATGTTAAGAATTACTTTTTAAAGTAGCTAAAGGCTCAGTTATTTCAAGTGTGTGGATAATAGTGTTTAGTGTCATATCATGTGACTGGCATCTTTCTGCTCATCTGTCTTCATGTGTTGGCCTGCCCACGTGTGGGTAGCAATGTACACACAGCATCTTTCCTCTGCTTCCCAGCTGGGGATACACTGAAGGACTTGGATGAGGTACTAGTGTCAGTAGCCTGTGGAGCAAAGTGTTCATATGGTGACTGTCAATGTAGAGACCAAAGGCTCAGCGTCCGACCCCGGAGCCGAGCTGGTTACGAGGGGAGTGTGGTGAACCAGTAGCTCTGCTTCCAGATTTCAACCATATTTTTCATGGCAATTAAAAAAAATAATAATAAAAAATAAAGCAAAAGTACTTTAGCAGAGGCAGTAACCTGTTCAAACCATAATGGGAAAAGGACCAAAGGTACAAAATGCCTAAGTTAAGGAGAGAACATCAGCCCTAACTCTGACTACTTTGAATCTTGGTTTGTTCCTTATGGTGATTTGCAGGTAGGTTTGAATGTGAAATGCCTCTGCTTGACTGTCCAAATCTACTTTGTTTTGGTGATATAAGCAACTGTGGGATGTTTCTTGGTGGGGGAAGGAGTGAATTCCTTCCAGCTTCTCCCTCCCCATAGGGTGTACTTGGTACATCTTTGAAATTGTATTCATCAAGTGGCCAATCTTTTTTTACTCATCTAAAAAGCATTGATGCTGCGTGTTATATTCTGAACCTGTATGATTTGTCCAAGAAGATGCACAATAAGTTTCCATGATCATAGATTTTTTTTTTCTTCTAATTACTTTTTATGGTATAAAACTCGAGCAACTGAAGTTCTCTATTCATATTCATCTCCTCTCACACTCCTCAAATAGAATATAAATGGAAAACAAGCAATCAAAAGCATTTTTCCTTCTAAGCCTCTCATCTTAACATCATGCTTCGCTGGTAAATTCAGCATTGCTTTGTCTGAAAGTAGTGGCCTACTTATCCTCTGAGAGGGTTCTTTGTTGACTTCCAAGCCACTCTGAGCCCACTGGGTTAAATTCTCATATGTTTAATAATGCCCTATTTTTTTTTTCTGAAACAGTAATCATCTTTAATGAACTGAACATACCCTTTAGAACTGGCTAAGCTTGGTATTTTCTACCTTTTTCTTTCTCATTGATAAAAGTATTTGCAAAGAGAGAACGGATGTACCCTTTGTTTTCTAAATACAGATGCTATTTCTGGGCCAGAGATATATATTAAGATCTATGTTCTGCAGAAAATTTTCCAGTTATGGAAGATTTAGATGGGTGTGTAAAAAAGTCAGGAGTACCTTCCTTTTGTTCAGATGGGATCCACTGTGCTAAGGCAGCAGTGTGTGTCCTGCGTAGGACGGAAGTTAAACCCAGTTCTGTCTTTGAAGGCAAATTATTAAAATACTGTTAATTCTCTGAAACTCCCTTTAGCTCCCTGTGCTTTGGAGGGTCAAAAGATACCTCTTAAAGTTCTTTCCCAGTGGGCAAAAGAAATCCTACCTCCTGCTGCGAAATGATCTTTCAAATAACTCTTTGCCAGCTTAGCTGGCTATTTTATGTGGTACAGTTTTAAAGGTGATAAAAAATCAGGATGCTGAAGAACACTCTTGGGAAGGAAGATGTGGATATTATGGATTACTCAAGCTCCAGCTGCCATGAAAAGAAGAAGAAGAATGTCTGTCCTCACTTCTGGTTCTTAGTATCATGGTAGTGGAATCCCAGAAACAGTAACATGGTCATGATAAGGGTATTGAACACACTGATATAAAGAGGATAAGCGTTTTATTCTTACTGCTTTACTACTTACTACTTTACTACTACTTGTATCTACATGCTTTTTAGCTCAATATTCAAAGCTGAATGGCATTTGTTAGCTTTAGGCGCTTCTGGGAACTGTTTTGGATTACTTTGCTAGATAGATTTAAAAACAAAACGAAAAATACTTCTCGTCTTTGCATTTCTCTCCTTAACCCCAAATTGGAGATTTGTCTACTGGTACACAGGCTGATCCCAAGCCACACTGAACCATTAACCATCCAGTAACTGATAGCCAAGATCATCTTGTTTGGCAGCCTGTTTCCAGCCCGTCAGGGTCTGTTCTTGCTTGGGCCTAAGTTGTTGAACACAGATTTTCTTCCCCAGTTATCCTCTAGGCTGCCCATGTGTGATGCATGCAGTCCTCTGAAGCCCTTACTTGCTTAAAATACAATGCACCTGCTTTCTTTTCAACCTCCTTTTCTGATGTGGTTGGAAGAGGCAACATGACTAAAAGAGGATGAAGGTGTGAGGTGGTTTTTACCTCTGCGTCTTTCCCACTTCTCGCTCTTCTCTCAGGTGAAGTGTAGGATATTTTGACCAAATAGATATTTTTTCTCTGTAGGGAGTTTGGGTCTGCACTGATGCCATCTGCACTGATCTGGCCAGCATCCCTGCAGCAATCTGAGTGTCTGTCACTCAGACTCGACTACACCATTACTTGTGAAGTTTTCCTTGTCAGACCAAGCCAGCACTTCCTTGATATGCAGTAAATACAGACCTGCTTATGCCAGGAGGTGGTCGTAATCTGTGGTTCCATGTTTACATTAGTCATTCTGACTTTTCCTGTTCTGTTTGTTTTTCTTTTTTTGTCTTGTCTTCCTCCAGTACACCTCCAGCATGAGAGCCAAATACCTCGCCACCAACCAACCTCGTCCAGATGCTGGCAGTGTGCATTAAAATGAAAAAGCAAAAGCAAAAAAACACCCACACGTGCAGTCAGACAAAACAATGTGCCAACTGCTGTGCCCCTGTGCTGTCCTCGTAGAACAATCCTGCTGTTCTGCCCAAAATCCAGTGCAGCTCCTTCCGTTTCTCCAGTCCAGACCACCCCTCCAACCTGGTACCTGCCCATTGGAGTGGAAGCCCCCTTTGAATTTAAGCCTTCACCTGCTGTACCTGGTGTGTGAGAGAGAGCAAGCGCGTGCCGGCCAGCGACGGCGAGATTTCCAGCCCCTCCTGGCTTCCACCTGCCTGGGGCCAGCTTGAGCAGGAGCCCTATCAGAAAATGTCGGTGAATTTTCTTCTGCCCCCCTTTTTCCCTCCTGTTCCTCAGAGCGACTTGGTGAAAGGTGGTGGTAGATCATCTTCGGTTCTGCAGAGGGATCAGGAGAGCTGCTCGGTCTGTCCAACTCTGAAGAAGCAGATGTTCAGTGTGTGCGACTAGTGTGCAAGGAGGGAAAGCCAAGTCAGTGCACAGCACCATGTTCTGGTGGAAACCTTCTGTGTTGGGGAGGAGGGAAACCTCTGCCCCGTGGTGTCACTGCACTTCCACTGTAAATTGGGATCCAGGTGTTCCGTCTTAGAGCAAACAACTCCACAGCCCTGGAGATGTCTTTTAAAAAGAAAAAAAAAAAATCCAATGCCTTTTTCCTTCCCACTGTATCTAGTGTGTGAATTCTCGAGGAGGAGCTGGGGCTCCCACCACTAGTCAACTGCCCTGTCCCTTGCTCTGAACTGGACCTCTCTGCTCATCAGGGAAGCCCAGGTACTTGCAGGTGGCATTCCGGGTGCTGCCTATGTGAGGCCATCACACCAATCAAACAGGAGCCAGCAACACACTTGGTGCCAAATTTTTCCAGGAAAAGACTTGTAAGACTCTGGGGTTTTTTGCACTGAACAAATTTCAGCTCTCTGATGGCAGGTCTTATGGGACAGACTGTTTACAAGAGAAGGGGGAGAGACTGCAAGCACCAGTAGATTTATGGCAAATGCAAACTCTCCCTGCAGGAGTAACCTGTGAACCCTGCTGGACTTTCCCCTTCCCCACACTTTTATTTTTTCCCTTTTATCATTATTTCTGGTGCAGGGTTGCAGACCTGGCACTGAAAGATGGTTTTGAAGCCTCAGTCCTGACAAGTTCACAAGATGGGCAGTATACATCCTCTCTGTTCCAGAATCAGAAACCCAAATGACCTTGAAAACAGTGTGACTGTCAGAACAATTTTTTGTTGTTGTTTTTGTTTTTCTAGGCATGTTGCTAACCACTATCAGACCATATTGAGGCACATTTAGGGCATTTTTCAAGACATGAGACATAACAGAGCTTGCAAAGGGTAAACTGGGTGCCTGCAAGGGGCAACATCCTCCACTGGTGCTGTACTTTCCACTGAAGAATGGTGCTCCAAAGGGCACTGACAGCTTCCTACTGGAAAAGGAGACTGCCACTTAGGTGGTTAGAAGGAGTGTAGAGCACTGGCCCTTCAGTAAGGAAGCTACGATGTTCCTGTGTTTACATCTCTGAGCAGGGGCATCGTAATGTAGCTGCTGAGCATGATACTAAATAACTGGCAGAGGAAATAAGTGGAAAACATCTCAAAATTGGAGTTGAGCCTCTGGCAGATGCAGTTCATCTTCATCTCACTGATGTTCAGGCTCAATGTCTTTTTTCCCCATGTTTGCTGAATGGGGCTTACATCCATAGTCTGGGGCACAGAATCTACCACTCTGCCTTTACCTGAGTCCATTGCCTTCTTGCAGCAAGGTAGGAAATGCTTCTAGCAGATGTGCGACTAGGGTGATGGTATTTCCTGGGAAATGTCACCAGTTCTGTGGAAGAGCAAGCTTTGAGACTCCTCTGAAGAAGATAAAAACCACTAAGAGACTGCAAAAGCTGTAGGCCAGCTTCTATCATTCAAAGGATCGAGAGAGAAAGAAGGAGATGGTACCACACTCAC